GATTCCCGGTCAGGGCACATGCCCGTGTGGCAGGCTCGATCCCCAGTGGGGGGCGTGCAGGAGGCAGCCGATCTATGATTCTCTCCCTTCATTGATGTTTCTATCTCTCTCTCCCTCTCCCTTCCTCTCTGACATCAATAAAGATATATTTACAAAATAAAATAAAAAATGGAGAATTCCAAGGGGCGTGAGCATCCAGACACACTGAAGGCTTCCTGCCCTGAGCTCAGAAAAACACACAGGCTGGCGAGGAATCTGAAGGTTGTCGGGAGGATGTGCACACAGCCCAGTCCTGGCTCTTTCCCTGCCCAGGAAGGCCGATGGGGCAGCCTGCAGGGTTTGAACCCCGCAGACATGCAGTTTCCTGAAGGAGGGAAAGGCCTTAAGTAAACAGGAGTGTGTTCCCAGCCGGGTCTGGGCTGTGTCAGGGCGGGTGTCTCCTGGCCAAGGGGGAAGAGCTGGTAACCCTATTCTCTCTCTCTGTCTCTCTCTCATTTTAAAGTGTCATTTTGAGGAATTCTATTTTATTACTAGAGGCCCGGTGCACCAATTCGTGCATGGGTGGGGTCCCTTGGCCTGGCCGGCAATTGGGGCCATGAGAGGTGGCTGTGGGAGCACACTGACCACCAGGGGGCAGCTCCTGCATTGAGCATCTGCCCCCTGGTGGTCAGTGCGTGTCATAGCAACTTGTCAATGGGTCGTTCGGTTGCTTAGGCTTTTATATATATAGATTATTTTTTTAAATCTGTGGGGTTCTTTTGCCCGGGCTGGTGTGGCTCAGTGGATAGAGCATTGGCCTGTGGACTGAAGGGCCCCAGGTTCAATTCCGGTCAAGGACATGCACCTCAGTTGCAGGCACCTCCCAGTCCCAGTCCCTGGTTGGGGTGCATGCAGGAGGCAACCCATCCATGTTCCTCTCTCACATCGAGGTTTCTCTCTGCCTTTCCCTCTCCCTTCCACTCTCTCTAAAAATCAATGGGAAAATATCCTCAGGTGAGGATTAAAAATACAATAAAATATGTTTTTATTGATTTTTAGAGAGGAAGGGAAAGGGAGTGAGAGAGAGAGAGAAACATCAGTGATGAGAGAGAATCCTTGATCGGCTGCCTCCTGCACGCCCCACACTGGGGATTGAGACCGCTACCCGGGCATGTGCCCTGGCTGGGAATTGAACCCTGATGTCCTGGTTCCTAGGCCGACGCTCAGCCACTGAGCCACACTGGCTGGGCGAGCAAGGAGCAGTGGGTAGGATACTGAAGTGCAGTGGGAATCACGTGTCTTTTTACCTGGTGACTGCTTCACTTTTGAGGCCCACGGGGTCCTATTCCCTGCTGTCCACCTCTCCCCACTCCTCTCTCCTCCCAGCCCCAATGTTACACATCCTCTGTCCTTTACGGGGTATAGATCGAGCCCCGGGACACCCCAGAGTCATGTCTTCCTACAATGTCATCACCTTCCGCTAGAGGGGGCGGGCAGCACATCCCACTCTCAGATTCCCGGAACCTGGAGGGCCATCCGGATCCCTCCCAAACCCGTCCCTGTCCCTGGTGACCCGGCAGCTGGGGACAGTGGCTGGGAGGAGGCTGCGTGTCCTGGAGGCTCTGCTCTGTGTCCTGGGAAGACCGCACGCTTCCTGGCCTGACCTGCCTCTCCATTCCCTTCGGTCCAACCTGCGAGGGGTCCTGGGAGGAGTCACTTGCCCCCCAAGCCTCCTGACATTTAGGCAGGATTCTCCCCTCCCACCTGGGTGAGAATGCCACGCCTCATCTTGCTGCCTGTTTGGGGGTGGGACGCTTGCTTTCAGGCCGAGAGCGAGCTGGGGGCTTAGTCCTCAAGGAGGGCCTGGTTTTCCTGAGACTGTTTGTTGCTGGGGCTGAGCAGCAGACCCCCAGCGACGGAGGAATGGATGAATGGATGACTCCAACACGGTGTTTGCTGTGAAAGAGAGGGCTAAGGGGCCTCCTGGCTAAAGGGACCAGACAGCCTCGATCGCCTGCCTCGTTAGTCTTTTATTGTAGCAGCAGTTTGAGATCAAGTTTATCTTTTAATTTATTTTATTTTATTTTATTTTATTTTATTGTTTTAAAGAAGAGACCATTTAATTTTTTATGTTTTATATTTTTATTGAATTCAGAGAGGAAGGGAGAGGGGGAGAGAGAGAGAGATGTCAGTGATGAGAGAAAATCATCAATTGACTGTCTCCTGCATGCCCCCCACTGGGGATCGAGTCCCCAACCCAGGCATGTGCCCCTGACTGGAATCGAACCCGGGGCCCTTTAGTCTGCCGGATGATGCTCTAGCCACTGAGCAACACCAGCCAGGGCTAAAGTTTATCTTTTAGAAATGATCAGTAGGGTGAGTAATCTTGAGAGGACACATGTGTCTGCAGTGTCTTTTAAGCAAGGATGCCCAAAGATTGAGCATAAGGATTCCAGTAAACGCCCGGGGGTCTGCATGTGCACAGACTTGTTGGGAAAGGTTAAGGAATAATTAGGGACGCCGCCTTCGACACTCCCCTAAGTCAGAATTCCGGTAAACAGGGCGGGCAGCCTTCCGCACACCTCCCTTTTCTCAGTGTTACAGAAGACCGGAGAAAAACTAAGCAACGTTTAGAGAAATGGAGTTACACAGTTTATTACACCAGTGGTCTCAGTGGAGTCACCTCCAAAAATCTAAGCAAAGCAACATGGCAGGAACTTTCCTTTCTATTTCCTTCTCAGCCCTTTGTCTCCCAAATATGGGTTTTTCCGGACCTTTAGCAAGCGTTACAAATGCCCTATGTAATTATTTTGCAGGCAGCTTGTAACTTGGAGCACAACACAGTTCTGTTCAGCTCACAAAAAACCTGGCCACCTAGCCTACAAGGCCAGACAGCTAAGTTTATCTTCTCTATTATTCAAGCAGGCTGAAAAGCAAGTTAATTTACAGAATTAGGGACTATCTAAAAATAACAGAGAATTTCAAACTTCCGTTTCTCGGAATGTCCTCCTTACAAACTTTCCAACCAAGTCTCCTGTGCGCCCCAACAGTTTCCCACGGAGGGAGGGAGGGAGGGAAAGAAATGGGCCGGAGGGGATCCTGCCCTCAGCCGAGGGGGGCTGGGTGTCCCTAGGGCAATGACCTGCCCACCCGTGTCTAGGCTTCTTCCGTGTAGATGCCACGCCCCTCCCGGGGGAGCTGTGGGGATGAGGTGAAACAGTGGTCACGATTCCCAGTTCATAGTAGTTGCTCAATAAACCCGTGTTTCCTTCTGCCTGGCTGTTTTTCCCAAGGGCCCTGAGTCCAGAGATGCTACGGAGAGGGTTGGGGCGATGCTCTCTCTCAGGGGCCTTCTGATTCTGTAATTCTGTGACTCAGACCCGTGGTTGGCAAACTGCGGCTCTCGAGCCACATGCGGCTCTTTGGCCCTTTCAGTGTGGCTCTTCCACAAAATATCATGTGTGGGCGCACACATACAGTGTGATTGAAACTTCGTGGCCCATGCGCAGAAGTCGGTATTTTGTGGAAGAGCCACACTCAAGGGGCCAAAGAGCTGCATGTGGCTCGCGAGCCGCCATTTGCCGAGCCGCAGTTTGCTGACCACTGACCCAGACGGTCGCTCTGGTCCGGCTCCTGAATTCAAACTTAGAATGTGTGTGTGTTTACAGGGCAGATGGGGAAGGGGGGTGATGGGAAAGGTGTCGCTGGCCAGGGTGCCTCCTGCTCAGTGAGGGAGCCACGCACCACCTCAGACAAGCTGGTGTCTGTGAGCTTGCTAGGTCCTCACAGACCCCTGTTGCCTTGGGAGGGAGGGAGCTCCCCGTCACTAGAGGTAATCAAGTAGAGGCTGCAGGGCGTCGGGACAGGATTGCTGAGGTAGATGGCTCCCCCTCGGGAAGGAGGCCCAATGGACAAAAACTCCACAGAATGTAAGCAGGTTGGGTTCATGGAGGCTGAATCGCTGGCAGGTGTGGGAGAGGCAGGCGGATGTTAGGGAGTAGACACTGTGTGGGCCAGTGTGAGATGGACCAGGGTGGCCTCTGCACAGACACCTGGGTGCTCACCTTGGCCTTAGCCAAGAGAGGCACTTCTGTGCCCATCAGCAGATGAGCGGATAAAAAGCTGTGGTCCATCTACACCATGGAATACTACGCAGCACTGAAAAAGGAGGCTCTCTCACCCTTGGAGACAGCATGGAGGGACTTGGAGAGTTTCATGCTAAGTGACATAAGCCAGTCAGAGAAAGACACGTGTCCCATGATCTCACTCCTTTGTGGAATCTAAGTAACAAAATAAACTGATGAGCAAAATAGATCCAGAGACAAGGAAGCATGGAACAGAGGGCGGAACCTCAGAGGGAAGGCAGGGGAGGGTGGGTGGGCGGGAGGTGATCAGCCAAGCACCTTCTATGCACGTATGCATGGGCCATGGACGCAGACAATGGGGGGGGGTGAGATCCTGGGGTGGGGGACAGGGGTGGGCTGGAGGGGTCAATGGGAAAAAAAGGGGACATCTGCCATATTTTCAACAATAAAGATTTATAAATAAACTAGAGGCTCCGTGCACGAAATTCATGCACTCGGGGGAAGGGGTCCCTCAGCCCGGCCTGCGCCCTCTTGTGGTCGGGGACCCTCGCTCCTTACCGCCCACCTGCTCGCTGCTCCTTTCTGCTGGGTTTGCTGCTCCTTAGCGCTGCCACGGAGGTGGGAGAGGCTCCCGCTGCCACCACTGTGCTCACCAGCCGTGAGCCCGACTTCTGGCTGAGCGGCGCTCCTCCTGTGGGAGCCCACTACCACCAGGGGGCAGCTCCTGCATTGAGCGTCTGCCCCCTGGTGGTCAGTGAACGTCATAGTGACCGGTCATTCCGCGGTTCGGTCGATTTTCATATTAGGCTTTTATTATATAGGATAAGTGGATGAATGAATGAATGAATAGAACACACACACACACACACACACACACACACACACAGCAGCACTGCCGCTGGGGCCTCGTTTGTAACCGGTGACCTTGCCTTGCAGACCTCGGCAGAGACGTCCCCGGGGGCCTACTTCCTGCCCGAGTTCGCGCTGTCCCCCCAGGGGAGTTTCCTGGAAGACACGACTGGGGAGCAGTTCCTCACCTATCGCTATGACGACCAGGTAAGCGCCTCCCTCCGGCCTGGCCACGTGCCAATGGGCGGGAGACGGCTCCTCAGAGGTGAGGCCGGAAGGATTCTGCTCCCCACGCACACCACGTGCCCTGACGCCCGGGGGACCCCACCCTTCCCCACAGTGTGTGGCTCTTGCGCTGGTCGGGTCGTCGAATTGAGAGTCGCTGGTTCTTGTGTTTGTCGGAAACGTGCGATGGACCCGTTCATTCTGGCGATCTCCAGATTGATCGTGCGATACTGGAGTTACCCAAAAGCACTGTTTTCTGATTACGCTTCCCTTTCTTTGACCTCTGAGCTTTGACGCGCACCAAAGTGGGTTTTTTTTTGCCAAGCCTGTTTCCCAGAGAGGAACAAAGTGGGCATGTCCGTGCGCACATACGTGCATACATGTGCACATGTGCGTGGGCATGTGTGTGAGAGTGGGCACACATGTCTGCAACCGTGGGCATGAGTGTGCACATGTGTGAGGTTGTGCATGTGTGTGAGTGTACGTGGGTGTATGCACATGACTGTGTGGATTGTGCATGTGTGTGTGTGCATGTGCATGTGAGCATGCATGTGCACACATATGCACATGAGTGGGAGCGAGAGTGCACATACATATGTGCTTGTGTCTGCAAGCGCACGTGTGTGCATGTGTGCACGCATATGGATGTGTGTGCACATGTCATGTGAGTGTATGAGCGTGCACGTGCGTACACTATTGTGCACGTGTGTGCATGTATGGATGTGTGTGCACATGTCATGTGAGTGTACGAGTGTGCACATGTGTACACTATTGTGCACGTGTGTGCATATGTATTTGTGGGTGTGTATGTGTTTAAATCACTGCATGAGGCCAGTTAGAGAACACGGCTGTGGCGGTGAGATACAGACACTGGCACCCTGGACCCGGATTCCTTCCTCTACACACTTTCCGTTGATGCCTGAGCAGCTGAGACTATGCATATCTTGTAGCCACTCCCGGCTCCATTGGAAACAGAGAATGTCAACATTGCCGGCCCGGCTGGTGTGGCTCAGTGGATAGAGCGTCAGCCTGCGAACTGAAGGGTCCCAGGTTCGATTCTGGTCCAGGGCACAGGCCCGGGTTGCAGGCTCGATCCCCAGTGGGGGGCGTGCTGGAGGCGGCCGATCGACTTGTCTCTCTCACATCGATGTTTCTGTCTGTCTCTCCCTCTCTCTCCCACTCTCTCTAAAAATCAGTAGAAACATATCCCTGGGTGAGGACTAACAAAACAAACAAACAAATAAAAAGCATTGCCGAACCCTGACTGGTTTGGCTCAGTGGATAGAGCGTCGGCCTGCGGACTGGAGGGTCCCGGGTTCGATCCCGGTCAAGGGCATGTACCTTGGTTGCGGGCACATCCCCAGTAGGGGGTGTGCCGGAGGCGGCTGATGGATGTTTCTCTCTCATCGATGTTTCTAACTCTCTATCCCTCTCCCTTCCTCTCTGTAAAAAATCAATAAAATATATTTAAAAAACCCAAAAAGCATTGCCGAATTCCGGGGTTTCTAGCAGGTGGGGCCTGAGCTCATGGGGCAGAGGGCCAGCGGGGTGGGGATTAAGGGGGCTTCGATGGGTCTGGCGGACCTTGGCGCCTACAGGGCCACATGCCATGGGGAACAATGGGGCTCAGCTCTCTTCTCACAGCCCTGATGGGCATGGCCAGGGCCTGAGGTCCTCACGGGTGCGGGCAAGGCGGGCAGGTCCCGGCTGAGGCAGGCGGGTGAGGGGGGAAGGGATTCCAGCAGGAGCAGCTCTGGGAAAGCTAGTCGGCCACACGGCGGGTGTGGATGTGGTCGCAGGGAGTGGGCCGGGCTGTGGGACCGACCGAAGCAGGCGGAGGGCCGGGAACTAGGCGGGAAGAGGGTTTAATCGTAGGCAGAGGAACAGGCTGATGAAGGCGGAGGGGATGAGCAGAGTGGGTGGGGACGGGGGAAGGAGGGGAGATGCTGCCTGGAACTCTGTGTTCCAGACCCAGGGAGGGGGCGACACCCCATTAATCCTGGTTCTCCAGGCCATTGCTAAGTGGGCTCGGGGGGGTCGGGGTGAGGAGCAGGCTGTGGGCCAGGGGATCCACCCAGGGAGTCAGGGCCAGGGACAGGATGACACCAATTTTTTATCCAAAGTTCCAACATTTCACCCAGCCTCAGTGGCTCGGTGGTTGAGCATCAATCTATGAACCAGGAGGTCGGGGTTCGATTCCCCGGGCAGGGCACTTGCCCAGGTTGCAGGCTTGATCCCCAGTGGGGGGCGTGCAGGAGGCAGCCGATCCATGATTCTCTCTCATCATGGATGTTTCTCTCTCTCTCTCCCTCTCCTTTCCTCTCTGAAATCAATATATATATATATATATATATATATATGCTCACCCAAGGATATTTTCCCATTGATTTTCAGAGAGAGTGGATATGAGAGAGAGAGACAGAGAGAAACATCAAAGTGAGAGAACCACATTGATTGGTTGCCTCCTGCATGTGCCCCGACCAGGGCCCGGGCTGTGGAGGAGCCTGCAACCGAGGTCCGTGCCCTTGACCTGAATCAAACCCAGGACCCTTGGTCTGGAGGCGGATGCTCTATCCACTGAGCTACACTGGCCAGGGCTAGGGTTCCTTTTAATTGAGAAATCAATGACCCAATGGGTTTTCATTCACAAGCTTCAGGGAAACCATCTGGGGAAAGAGGGGGCCTGGAAAACCACGCAGTGTGTTTTGTGATTAAAGGCTGGTTAATGCCTTTCCCAGGGTCTGCAGATCCGTTATCCTATATAATAAAAGGCTAATATGCAAATCGACCAAACAGTGGAATGACCTGTCGCTATGACATGCACTGACCACCAGGGGGCAGACACTCAATGCAGGAGCTGCCCCCTGGTGGTCAGTGCATTCCCACAGGGGGAGCGCAGCTCAGCCAGAAGCCAGGCTCACGGCTGGCAAGCGCACTAGCGGTGGCGGGAGCCTCTCCCGCCCCCGTGTTGGGGCTAAGGCAGGCGGACATCCCCCGAGGGGTCCCAGACTGTGAGAGGGAGCAGGCCAGGCTGAGGGACTCCCTCCCCCCCAGTGCACAAATATCATGCACTGGGGCTCTAGTGTTTAATATAATAACAATATATGCCCGGTGGGCGTGGCTCAGTGGTTGAGCATCGACCCATGAACCACAAGGTCACGGTTCGATTCCCGATCAGGGCACATGCCTATGTTGTGGGCTCCATCCCCAGTGGGGGGCGTGCAGGAGACAGCCGATCCATGATTCTCTCTCATCATTGGTGTTTCTCTCTCTCCCTCTCCCTTCCTCTCTGAAATCAATACACACACACACACACACACACACTAGAGGATACACACACACACACACACACACACACACACACACTAGATGCTCGGTGCAGGAATTCCTGCACAGGTGGGGTCCTTAGGCCTTACCGGCATTTGGGGCCGATTGGGGCATCTCGCCCAGTCCCAATCGGGGCCTATCTGGGCCGGCGAGTTCGGGGTGGGGAGGGGCCGCGGGAGGTTGGCTGTGGGAGTACACTGACCACTCGAGGGCAGCTCCTGTGTAGAGCATCTGCCCTCTGGTGGTCAGTGCGTGTTATAGCGCCTGGTCAACTGGTGGTTCCAGTCATTCGGTCGTAGCGGTCACGCAGGCTTTTATATATATAGGTTTTTAAAACCAAAGGCATTGTGACATCATCGCAGGAGTCCCAGTTCACTGGCTCTTCTCTTCCCTGAATGCCGGTGACTGGCTGTGTGAGTTCTCCTTTCCGAGTCCTCTCTGCTGTTTGTATTTCCGTGACGATGTCCACGGCCAGGGAAGCCGGGGGCGGGATGTGTGGCCCCGACAGGCACCTGGCATCGTACAAGGCGGAGTGGGAAGGGGGTATTGGAATCCTGTTTTTCCAGGTGGGGAACCTGAGCCCCGTCTCACCCAAGATCAGCCAGCCAGGCTGCAGCCCAGCCGAGGCCCCGGGCCGGGGCCCTCCAGCTCGATCCGGCATTTTTTCCATCTAATCTGTGGGAAGGAGAAGTATGAGAGAAATGTTTGAATGAATTATTCTTTTAAATATATTTTTATGGATTTCAGAGAGGAAGAGAGAGGGAGAAAAGTCAGTGATGAGAGAGAATCGTGGATCAGCTGCCCCCTGCAGGCCCCGCACTGGGGATCAAGCCCACAACCCAGGCCTGTGCCCTGACCGGGAATGGAACCGTGACCTCCTGGGTCATAGGTCAACGCTCAACCACTGAGTCAAGCCGGCTGGGCTGAATGAAGTCTGTTTTGCTTTTTAAATATATTTTTATTGATGTCAGAGAGGAAGGGAGAGGGAGAAAGAGAGAGAAACATCCATGATGAGAGAGAATCATGGATCAGCTGCCTCTTTCATGACCCCCACTGGGGATTTAGCCCACAACCAAGGCATGTGCCCTTGACCAGAATTGAACCTGGGACCCTTCAGGCCGCAGGCCGACGCTCTATCCATTGAGCCACACCGGTTAGAGCAGCTTCTTGATACTAATAATAACCAGGAGATAAGAAGGAAATTTTGTGTAATCTCTTTGTGCATATTTTTTTAAAATATATTTTTACTGATTTCACAGAAGAAGGGAGAGGGAGAGAGAAACATCCATGATGAGAGAGAATGATGGATCGGCTGCCTCCTGCACGCCCCACACTGGGGATTGACCCCACAACCCGGGCCTGTGCCCCTGACCGGAATCGAACCCGGGACCCTTCAGTCCGCGGGCCGACGCTCTACCCACTGAGCTACACCAGCCGGGGCCGGTCTCATTTCTCCACTTCTTTGCCGTGTCTTTTCCTCTGAATTCGGTGATAGCAGACCTTCTTCTCCGGGCCCCTTCCCTCTCGCTGTTGATTCACACGTTCCTTCTAAGGAGGGAGTCGGGTGGCTCCCAGCTCCTCCTGCCGCCCGCCCGCTGCGCCCGGAGTCTCCTTGCGCCCGCCCCGCACGGCCCCAGGGGACTTCTGCAGGAACT